GAGATTAGGTACCTAGCTATAGGCTAGGTATATTAGAGTAAACTTAGTTATTAAGTAGACTTTACTATTATAGGTAAAGACCGCCTCCTATAGGTGTAAGGCCTAGTCTAATTATTTATAGTTAACGTATATATGTAAGTATACCTCTAGCTCCTAGTTTTAGCGCTTAGTTTACCTATTAGTCTATAGGTAGAATGCTATGCTTAACTTTTAGATAATTCCTAAGTAGTAGTAGAATACGCTCTAGTAGTTACTTATAAAGAGGCTACCCTAGTCTAAGATAATATTAATTAGGCACCTAGTTACTATAATAACCTTACGCTAGATAAGAGTACCTAAGCTATCTACGCTTATAGTTATTTATATAGGAAAGTACTATACGTATTTTATGAACCTATCTACTAGGACTAGGATAGCGTTATATTTATATCCTAATAGGTCCTAGGAGGCCGGAAGGTCTATAATAAAATCTATTATAAAATATTACTAGGGTATTATAGGTCTTTAGACCGGTTTAAGGAGCCTATATAGCTTATACCGCCGCGGCTTATTTTACTAGTAGGCATTATAGTCTCCTATATACGTAGTTACATCTTCGGCTAGTATTAGCTACTAGTATTTATAGCTAATAACCTCTATCATGCGTTTAACACTAAAGTATCTACCTACTAGGTCATTATAGTTCTATATAAAGATCTTACCGCGTAGTAGGGTGCTATTAGGCACCTATACTTTACTATTCTAGTAGATAAGACCTTAGGGGTCTATAGAATACCCCTCTCTAGCACCGTCTACCCCTATTATACTATCTATATAGACCTCCTAAGATAGAGGGTCCTTCCTCTAGCTATCTAGAAGTAGTTAGAGGAGGGACTTAGGGGGGTTAGTATATACTATTTTACTAAGAGTAGCTACTACTACTTCTTAGTAAGGCGTTAGACTTAGCGCTAAGCTAATACTAGTAAGTAAGGACGCTATAAGGGGGTATTACTTACATTATTAGACTTATTTTAAGGGCAGCTTTACTAGTACCTCTACTCTAAGTAGGTACCGTAACGCGTCTATCTAGCCAGTAACTAGGGGTATAGTAGTACCTAGTAACTCCTTAAGGTCTTTTACTTAGAGCTTCTATTATAGAGTAGGTAATAGTATATCTAATACTAGCTATTTATCCGCTTCTTTAAAGCTCTTTATATAGTCTAGGCGGTAGGATAAACTATTAGCGGGGTTAATTAAGCTAGGTTTATAGCTAATCTTAAAGTTAAATTCCGCTAATAACTCCGTATACCTAGCCTACCTTATAGTTAGGTATTTAGTATCTATAAAATAGTAGAGGTTATTATAATCTATAAGGACTCACGTTAGGGCGGGTATATATACTAGGTAGTACCGCTATATCTTAAAGCACTCTATAATTATAAGTAATTCTTTATCGTAGGTATCGTACTATACCTCTATAGTAATAAATTTACGTAAGTAGTAGGTAATTAGGTGCTAATAGGTAGCCCTATTACTACTAACGGCTAGCTATAGGAGTATTCCTACGTATATATAGTTAGATACGTCCGTAATTAGGGTTAATAGGCGCTTTAGATCATAGTACTATAGTAGGGGGCCTTCTAGGAAGGCTACTTATAGCTATTTAAAGGCCGTCTAGGCAGCCTCTAGCTACTACTAGGGTTAGTACTACCTTATAGGCCCCTTTCTAGTCTTTTTCTTCTTTACTTCCGCGGTATCTAATAAGGCGCCGGCTAGGGCCTAACTAGCCTCCTATAGGAGTTCATATAGGGGTTAGGTTAGCGTAGAGTAGTTCTAGATAAACCGGTAATAGAAGTTAGTAAAGCCTAGGAATACTTAGATATCCTTATAGCTTTATAGTTCTAGCTATTCTTTAATAGTCTAGACCCTCTTAGCGTCTATTTAGACGCTATTAGAGGTGATTATAAACCCTAGGAACTTAACGCGTTTTATATAGAATGCGTACTTCGAGATTTTAGCGTATAGTTTCTATTCCTATAGATGTTATAAGATTTACTTTACGTGCTATATGTAGTCTACCTTATTTTAGGAGTATATAAGAATATTATCTAGGTAGATAATATAGATAGAATCTAGGAGCCCGGCTATAGCTTAGTAGATATATACTTAGAAAGACGCGGGAGTATTAGCTAGCCTAAAAGGCATAACTAGATACTTATAGTAGCCGTACCGCGTCTTAAAGGCCGTCTTCTACTTATCTCCTACCTTAATCTAGAGTCTATAGTAGGCGTTATAGAGGTCTAACTTTATATATATAGTAGCCCCTAATACGCGGTCTATTAGCTCCCTAATTAGGGGTAAGGGGTAGTAGTTCTTAATAGTAACCTTATTAAGTCCCTAGTAGTCTATATAAAGGCGTAGGGTCCTATTAGCCTTAGGTATAAAGAGGATTAGGGCCCCTATAGGTAACTTACTTAGTCTAATCTATCTAAGGCGTAGCGCCTTTTCTAGGTACTCTCTAAGGATACTTAATTCTCTCTTAGATAGGTTATATATAGGTAACTATAGTAGCATTCTACCGTCCTTAAGATTAATTACGTAGTTATATACTAAGTTCTAGGCTAATATACTAGTAAGATTACTATTAAAGATATTATTAAATTTAGCGTATTACTCTAGGAGGCCCTAGATCGGGCTCCTACTAGTACCTATATAGGCTACTAGGTATAGAGCGTAACCGCCTTTATTAGGGTAACTAGTAGTTACTAGTAATTATATACCCTATAGGGTCCTACTAGGGCCTAGGTAGCTAATCTATTAAGGTTATTATACTATAGACCCATAGGTCTAGGCACTATAGATATATCCCTTAGGGCTAACCTCCTTTCTTAATTCCTCTAATAATACTTATTTAATTATAGGTTTATAGTCTAGGTTTATCTAGGAGAAAGACGGCCCGCGTCCCTAGAAGTACTTAAAATAGTATTTAGCCTTAGAAATCTATTCTAGGCTAAGGATAAGTTTAAATACTATATCTTAGCTCTTCTAGAATAGTTAGGGGCCTACGGCTTAGCTCTAACCTTAATTATCTTACGTAGTTATAGTAAGCTAATAGGCCGGTCCTAAGGTAAGAGGAGACCTATTAGCTAAGGTAGCGTTTAGATAGTAACTAGGTAGCTCTTAGGTAGAGACTAGGCCCTTATCCTAAGCTACTAACCTCTAAACTAGGTTTAGAGTAGCGCTATTATTAATAAGAGCCGTTAGGAAGTACGTCCTAGTAGCTATATTACATATAATATAAACTACTAATAAGTTATACGTTACTTAATAGTCTTCTTATTAATTCTCCTACCCTAGTTACTAAGACGCTCTTAGGTATATAACTAGGGCACGCCTTTTTCTAACTTTTTATTAGTTAGTAGCGGTTAGTCTCTTCTTAGCTAGGGAGTACTACCCTTTTAGTACTAATTACTAGTCTAATAGTTCTTTAGCCCGCTTCCCTATTAGGTTACTTTATTAGCTACGCCCCTAGATAGGGAGCCCTAGTATTTCTTCTTAGGCCTTAGCCCCTAGGGCGGTACTAAGCTAGGTTTAAACTAGCCCCTTTTAGGCGCCCCTTTAGGGTTACCCTTTAGGGATACCTATCCTAGGAGCTCCTCTACCTTCTTAACTTTAGTAAATATATTATACTTAGTCTTTATATAACTCTTAGTACTCATCTTAGTTAGCTTAGTATGTAAGATTAGGTATACCCGTAAGAACTAGTATATAACGCGGTACTTCTTATTAATAATCTTAAACTTAAGACGTTACTTCTTAGCTTCTAGTATAGACTATAGGCTTTTAAACTCTTACCTCTTCGTTTAGGTTATATTAAAGAACTTCGTATATGTCTTAAACCTCTATATATTAGGGTCCTAGATCTAGTCTATAATAAACGTACGGAAGTCTTTAAAGTAGACTAGGGGGTTTATTTTTAAGTTAAGGGCGTTAAATACCTTATCGCGTAGGTTTACCTTACTAATAGCTAACCCCTAGGTAGCCTATTATAACTAACACCCTAAATCTTTAGAGACGCTATATATCTTAAATACGTTATTTAGGGCCTAAAACTAGGAGTCTATATCCTTTACCTCTAAGCTTATAAGCTTAGGCGTAGGGGCCTTAATAAGGGAGCTAAGAGGGTTATAATAGAAAGCTTATAAATTAGGTTACGAGTTAGGCCTAACTAGGGTCATAATAGGTAGCCCTAAGAGACTTTATTTAATCTCCTAAAGCCTCTAAACCTATTAGTATAAGTTAGTAAGCTCCTCTATATTTATAGAATTAAGCGTTACTAAGAGCACCGTAATTTTATTATTAATAGTTATAATATATAGATTTAGCATTAGAGTAGCTAAGAGCTAGCTCTTACTATTATTTAGGGACTAGATTTCGATATAAGTATCTTTATTAACTAGGAGGAGGACTATCCTCTAGTTAGTAGCCTCTTAGCCTCTAACTAGCTAGTTTATAGCTAGAGAGCTAGCCTCTAGGTTAATACTTCCTAAATAAGTTATAGGAGCTATTTTTAATTTAACTAGCTATAGTAGTTAAAGGTTTTAAATATAAGATTTAGTACTATAGGGAGTTAAATTAAGGGTAAATAATAATAATATATTTAGTATAGATATTAGATAAAACCTTAGTTTATTAGGTTTCGTCTCTTAGGGCGTTTATATATCCTTACTAATATGTATAGCCCCCTTTAGGTCCTAGTATAGCCCCCTTTAGATCCTAGTATAGTCCTCTTTAGGTCCTAGTATAGCCCCCTTTAGGTTCTAGTATAGCCCCCTTTAGGTCCTAGTTAGAGTTCTCTAGGCCCTACCTTAGTTATAGCATTATATTAGCCTATAGCTCTAGTAAGACGTAAAATAATTAATTAATTAATTAATTAATTCATTAATCGATTCATAAATTAATTCTACGGCCATTAAATTATCTAGCTATATAATTTTTTACTCCCAAAAACTTTAAACAAGTCTTCGATGGTCTAGTGGTGATGATTTCCGCTTGTCATTACAGTGTATTACAAGCGCGGGAGACCGGGGTTCGATTCCCCGTCGGAGAGACCGTCCCATTTCGGCAGGAATGGCGATACCTACATTATATTTTTTTTTTCCACCTTAAAATTTTGACCCGATCGGTGTATCTGCACCACGTGCCACTAGCAGGAGTGCCATTTGTAGCAGGGTAGAGGTGTCTATTGACGAGTGCCCTTTAACCCCTGGCGCCTTTTTTAGATTCCTACAGTAAACAAAAACTTTTGCATTTCATTCCACGCCATCATCACTCGCAGGGGCAGAAGAAGGCTTGCTTACCCAAGCTCACACGACCGACTTGTACAAGAGAGTCGTGCGCTAGGCAGATAGATAACGCAACCGCAACTCCGAGGAATAGTGAGCAGTGACATTGCGACGTGCCGCATTATTTCCCCTTTCTCTCACATGCTCAAGGCTCAACTCTAAGCACTTAATCACGACTGACTGTAAATGAGGTTACTTTCCGCACACTGAGCGGGTAGCGGAGCAGTGCTACCGAGTCAAACAAGCATGCGCCCGGAGGACGACAACCCTAGAGCCCGACTAGGAATAGTCTGTCTACGTGATAGACTCGCCTGCTCTATCCCTAAGCAACGCGAAAGCGATGATTTTGCTGTAGATGGCCAGGCGCAAGAGTGATTGTCTGTTGAGCGGCACAGCAGCATTGCCTCTAGTGAACGGCATCGCCGGCGTGCAAAGCCGGGCAAAAGATGCTCGGAAAGCTACCACCAAACATCCAGGCCCACTTCCAGAATCGATTCCAGCTAGCAGTCGAAAGGCCACAGCGAAAATGTGGTGTTCATGAAAAACGGCCCGCTCGTTTCTGTCCTCGATGGTCACCATGGTTCAGACAGGTCTCCCAAGTTTCTGTGACCACGGCCAGAAGCAGGGCAAGGAAAAAAGGAAATCAATCCAGCACTGTTATCCTGCTCACGTAAATTCGCAATTAACCGGTTAAGTCATTGCTAACTTCTTACTCCAATCGTCTGTGCTCTCTTCCCTTATGTTGATCCTGGTCCCGCGTTTTTTTGGTGCGAACCAATCGGGTGTGCGGAGAATTGCTTCTTCACAGTCTAAATATTCATATTCCTCTCAATTCCACCTCGCCCGAGGCCACGTCTCCATCGCACCTCACCCTATCCCTCAACCAACTCCTCAAACGCCAAATCCCTCTCAGCCCTCAACTGCGCCAACTGCGCCTCTCTCGCCAGCACAACGCGCCGCGCCTCGTCGCGATCGGCGGGTAGGCCCATGAACGCGCGGACCTGACTCTCCGAAGCCTCGACCTCCTGCCGCAGCGCGTCGACGTCGCGCGTCTGCGCAACCAGCGCCGCCAGCGCCGACGCCGAGAAGGGGTTCAGCGGAGACGAGAGTAGGTGCGTTTGCGGTTCGTGCCGGTCGTCTGCTGCAGGCGATCGTCGTGCCGCCGCGTTAGGGCTGCGGTGGCGGGACAGAGTCGGACTGGTATTTCCCGGGGCGCCCAAAGTGCTTCCCGTTGACGCGGTGGAGCCTGCGGTTGATGGCCGCGTCGCGGACGCGTTGGCCGGCGACCACGGGCAATTGGCGGCCAGCGCGGCCAGGCGCTCCTCGTACTCGCGTAGCTTGGGCAGCAGGTGCTTGGTCTGGCGGACAAAATCGGTCGTTTGGCGCGGTAGCGCCGCGTGCGGAGCGAGTGCTGGATCCGTTGATAGTAATTCGTGCGTGTTGCGTAAGTCCTGCAGCGTGGCGGCCAGCTGGAGGCGCAGGTGGGCGAGGGCGTCCTGCTGGGCTGCAAGAGTGGCTGAGTGGGTTGATTGCGAGATTAGGGCGTCCGCAAGCGCGGTAGGGCTGTGGGTTGATGAAGGGAGCGAGCTGGTGAGGCTGCTAAGGAAGTCGAGGGCGCAATGGCCATTAGGGGAGAAGGAGGATGAGATGGCGGACACGACGGCGGCGTTGGAGTCGTCATCATCTTGACTTGGGACCTAGGTTGTGTTGCCTTAGTATGTGAGTACGAATAAGTAGAGAGGATGAATGCGCACCGCGTCCAATTCGTCGCGTACCTCGTCTTCCAACGCGTTCAGCAGCGCGGCCTCCTCGTCGGCGCGTTCATTGGCGGTTGCCATAGCCATCAGCGCCTTGAGCGTCTCGTCATTGCGCTCAAACGCGGGCAGGCGCTGGCCCGGATACAGGGTGGACAGCCAGGTCTCGACATGCTGCCAATCGTGTGCCTGGGCGCGCTGTTGAGCGGCCTTGGATGGAGAGAAAAGGGCGTCTGGAGAGAGGTGGTTATAGTCCATCACAGCGTGGTGGCGGGAGAAGTGAGAGGTAGGAGCGGTGTTTACGCATTGTTGGTGTCTCTGTTGTTGGTGTTTCAATTGGTTGCTCGCCCCTTGGAGACTGCATGCATATCCTGGGTTCCGGTTCCTGTGCAACGGCGGTTGACGTTGTTTGGTCTCCGCTCCGCTCCGCCCCGTCCTGTCCTCCACTGCATCAGCCACAATGCGCACGGATGGCAGTGGAAGAGCTCGCGCCACCTTCCCCAGCGCGGGCTGGAGCTCCTCATCCCCGCACTCCCGGTCCAGTTGCACACGCCCCATTGCACAACAACTGCTGCCGGCGGTACGACGAAACCACCATATGCTGAAGTAACCTCGATCTCTTGCCAGACCTCGTCGTCCTTACCCACCACTATTCTCCTGTCCAGTCCTCCAATTGACCTCGTCATCCTCCCACCAACAACCTCCGCCGCCACCGTCTAGATTCGCCTCCCGCAATCCACCGCCTTGCACTCCCGCTTCGTCCGAGGCTTGATCCCTCGCCAGCGCCGCCTCTTTAACATGGCGTGGGCCTGCTCTGGCAGCTCCAACTCGGAGCTCATCAACAACATGGCAGCGGCAGGGCTCATCAGCTCCGACCGCGTCAAGCACGCCATGCTCGAGGTACGGGGACCCACAAGCCTCCGCTCCAGCAGAAAGATAGATGGGAAAACAGGGGACCGAGGGGCATTGTGTCTCAGGGGTCCGACCGTCGCTGATTGACTTTCCCCATGCAGGTCGACCGCGCACACTACGCGCCGGCGCGCGCATACGAAGACTCGCCGCAGCCGATCGGGCACAGCGCCACCATATCGGCGCCGCACATGCACGCATCGGCCTGCGAGTCGCTGCTGCCGTTCCTCAAGCCCGGGTCGCGGGTGCTCGACATCGGCAGCGGGTCCGGGTACCTGACACACGTGCTGGCGTCGCTGGTGACGCCGGGAGGCAGCGTCGTGGGCATCGACCACATCCAGCCGCTGGTCGACATGGCGGCGCGCAACACGGCCAAGAGCGACGCCGGCCGCCGCATGCTGGACGACGGCACAGTTACGTATGTCAAGGGCGATGGCCGCAAGGGTTGGCTCCAGGGCGCCCCCTACGATGCTATTCATGTCGGCGCCGCCGCGGCTGAGCATCATGAGGCGCTCGTTGATCAGCTCAAGACGCCCGGCCGCCTGTTTGTCCCCGTCGAGGAGGGCTACGTGCAGCACATTTACGTCGTCGACAAGAAGCAGGACGGCAGCGTCGAGCGGAAGAAGTTGTACGCTGTGCAGTACGTGCCACTGACGGATGCGCCCAGCGGGCACTGATCAGACACACGACGTCTCTTTTTCTTCGGCAACATCAACAGCCCTTTTCGCTTCCTCTGGACCTTTTCCGCCTGCAGTTCTTCTCGCGTGCTTGCTTGCTTAGCGGAGGCGTCTTTATCTTTCACTTCTTCTTTCTCGCCCTTTCTCACATCTTTCCATTATGCCTTTCCAGTTTACCTATCTGTATGATACCACAACAACAGCACCAGCAGCAGTTTCCGAAACAATACAGTAATGAATCAATCCCAACACGAGTTCTCCCTGGCCGCGCGCCCATCGCCTCGCACATCCTTAGCTCCACTCTAGCTCCAGCCCAACAACACACACAACCCAGCCAGGAACACGAGTGCTGTACAAGGGTACCTACACGGCCAAGGTAGTCGCGTCGCGTCGCCCAAACTGGTACATCAATCATTGCTTGATGCCTGAGGAACGGGGCACACTTTGGCTAGACAACACGGAGCTCACGATTGCTTCACTTTGGGTAAATCATACTTTGGATTAGCTATCTTGAAGCTAGCTAGCTGTTTGGAATCATGCTAGTTAGCTAGGTAGCTAACCTGTCAACGCTGTTGACGTCTGCGACTGACTGACTGTGCACGCCTGACGTCCTCCTTTCCCCACTGACCGGGGAAGCCAATTACTGCGCCCGCCGCCGACGAGGAGAAACTGGCTCCTAGCTCCGTCCTATGCACCTGACCTTAAACGGCTCACTGAGCGCCCTCCCTTCCGCCCGCCTCGCTCCGCCTTTTTGGTCCTCTACCTCTTGTCCCCTTCTTTTGTTTTTGACCTCCCCAGATGTAGGAAAAAGAATCAATGACGGGCGAATGCCGCTAGTGGAGATAGGGTGGGCTGCCTGGCGGACACTGCCCGGGGATGATTAAGCGTAGTAGAGGTAGTAAGTAGGAAGGTATAGAACAGATCAGCAAGCAAACAAGGACAGTAGAGCAACGAAATAACATGTCAGACAAGTAAGCAGCTTGCGCACTTTTCCTCTTCCTCGTTCCATCCCCCCTATCCGGAAAACCTCCGCTCTTTTTTAGAACCCCTGATAAAATGCGGCCCCGATATCTGCTACCTCTTCTTTTTTTCCCCGCCCCAACCGGTTGGATATCACTGGAATGATCAAAAAGAATGGAGGACAAAGAAATGGAACGACATGTAGTGGTGATGAGGCCGGCCCACGGATATCAATCGATCGACTAAAAGGCATACGTAGAGAAAACATGACATGAAGGACGACGACGCAGAGGAAGAAGAGGTGGAGAGGCATAGCGCTCGCTGGGAGGCTTCGGGGGGTATAAGTAAGTAAGCATGATACTGGTAGTAGTCGTAGTAGAGGAAGAAGAGAACAAGAGTGAGGAAGATTGGCTGGTGTGTGGGGAGAGAAGAGGCACGAGGCGCTTCTACCAGCACTTGAGCTTG